GAAAGAAAGAGAGAGAGAGAGAAAGAAAGAAAGAAAGAAAGAAAGAAAGAAAGAAAGAAAGAAAGAGAGAGAGAGAGAGGGAGTGACTGGGAAAATAAATTATTCTTCCGGCACCCATATCACTTCTGTACTCCTCCAGGACCATGCGTTTACAGCATGTCTCTACTCCTCTCTGTACGCAGCTGCTGTTCTGCTTAGTGGTACGCGATGCCATGGCTCCCGTTCCCTTGCTGCGTTACGTGTCAGTGCTGCGATATCTACTTAAGTCGTTTCGTTTCCACGGCTTGTAGCTGTAGCTGCCGCACCGGGTGCAAAAATGCAGAAGTCGGGAAGCGCAACGAAAACCGCAGGCGACATCGAACAGCAACAAACGGCCACCAGAAAGGCCCCACAAATTCGAGACGCACAGAAACGCGTGAAATGAGCTCTCCAGCTAGCGAAACCCAAAGCCGGTCGGCGTACTTTTTTGGAGTTAGGGTAAAGCAATATTCTTGACCGGGTATTGAGTGCTACATTATTACCTAAACCCACAGGCTAGGACTCTAGAACCCATATAGAACCATCAGTGGAGCCCTACACCCTCATACGAGAACAGAAAGCCCTGAAACCCTAAACCTTAAACATGAAACACTGAACCCTAAGCTAAACCCTAAACCCCTTGACCCTAAACCCTAAACCCTAAACCCTAAACCCTTTTTGAGCACCAAGTACACTGAGAAGCCCCCAGATGTGCCGCCGACACAGTACAACACACCGGAAGCATTCTTCGGTACCTGTTGAATGAGGGGTTAGGTTTAGGATTTAGTGTTTAGGGTGTAGCGTTTAGGATTTAACGTTTAGGGTATGGGATTTCGGGTTTAGGGTTAGGGTGTAGGATATCGTGTTTAGGATTTCGAGTTTAGGGTGTAGGGTATAGGATTTCGGGTTGAGGGTTTAGAATTTAGGGTGGCCGAGGGGTGTTGCCGCATAGACTGGTTGTCCGCCAGGGAGTATGCCAAATACTGTATGAAATACTTCGATTTCATACATATCGTCGTCGCAGCAGTACCACCAGTCACTGGTAGAAGCAGGCTTGGAACAAGATTCCGGCAGCATCAACACTACTACCGTTGATTTCCATCACCTTGATTGTTAACAACAAACAGATGCATATGTGTACTGCTGCGATGAACCAGGATACAGCTGGTTGGAAACATGAGTACTGCCTTGATTTGAAGTGGACCGGGTCAGTCAACAAGGTTGACTGTGCTCGTCTCTTCAGTACCAGTTCAGAATGGGCCCATGTACGAATTGCAACTGTGTAAAAACTCCGAAAGATTCCGCTCGAGTAAGCGAGGCAAACCAAACCCGATCCACAACCACGACGAAACCTCAGCAGCCAAACCTTAAACTCTAATCCTGAGCCCTACCCAGAGAGCGCAATACATTATAACTGAGGAATAAAGCTTAAAATTATAAAGGGCTTCATATTAAGGTTCAAGCGATATTCCTTACTTAAGGGGTATCGGGCTCTCTGGGTAACCCACGCTGAATGCTAAAACCCGAGGTCCGACACCCCAAATATCAGGACAAGAGAAAGGTACCACCCAACAGCCGGCTAGTCTGCGACAACTTGCCTTCCATGTTACCGGGGCTTAGGGTAATATGAGGAACTTAATAATCAGAGGGTTTGGGGGCCCTTTATAGTATAGTTGTAATCAGGAAACCCGAAAATAGTATGGGTAATTATTTAGGCCCCTACAGGATTTAATTCAAGGTTTAGGGTTTATAAGGGTTGGGATTCAATTCTTAGGCTTTGTCTTTGAGATTTCCGGCAACTGCTACTGGCATAAGCCCTAAGCCGCACAGATTTGGATACTGCGAAACCCGACGTCAGCTGCCTCCACGTCCACAGAGGCAATGGAGTTCATGCCTCAGACTCGCGAAAGCGCTTTAATTCGAGTTTAGGGGTTTGGGGGTTTAGGGTTTAGGGGTTTGGGGGTTTTAGGGTTTAGGGGTTTGGGGGTTTAGGATTTAGGGTTTAGGGTTTTCGGAAAACCACTATTGGGTCAAACCCCATCATAGGTCAAAGCAATGTGGGGAGAGACGATCTAAAGTTCCATCATGTCGTGTCAAGCCCTTTAGCCATGCGCACGCCGTCAAACGGGTACAGCATATAGCCTAGCGTAAACCCTAAACCCTAAACCCTAAACCCTAAACCCTAAACCCTAAACCCTAAACCCTAAACCCTAAACCCTAAACCCTAACCCAAAGCCCAAAACTCCAAACTTTAGAGGGCGGAACGGCCCCCATATTTACAGTATTTTTCGCATGTTGTGCAGCGAACCTTTCTGTTGGATTAAGGGTATAGGAATCATGGGCTTATTCCTCCATTCGGAAATGTAGAGGCATCAACACTTAGAATAGGGTCTTGGGATACATTGTACTCTCATTATAAAAGGGAACCCCCAAAAATAATATAGGTAATTACTAAGGCCCCTATACAAGCCTCCGGAGCACAACGCCTGACTGAATACAGAGGTCTGAGCCATTGGCATGAACATCCGCATATGGGTAGTTCTCTAAATTCGGGTCCCTTTTGGATCCCAAATATAGTATGGCACCCTTGTAAAAAAGAACCCTAAGGGGACCCTAATTTAGAGAACTACCCAAATGATTTAAGGGTTTAGGACGTAGGGATTGCATGGGGTAATGATTTATTTATATATATGTATATAGCTACAGCATAACCCTGAACCGCGAAACCCGACTCCAACTATTAAGGCCGCAAGTTTAAACTCCAACGCCCGCCGAAAACCGCCAGCTTCTCAACCCTACACCGGGGCCCCCGGCCGGTACGGAAGAGGGGGGCGTTCGATTCCGCAATGCGCGTCATGCCCTCGTAGAGGTACCTGTAGGGTTCAGGATATTTATTGGGGTTGAGGGCTTCAGGGTTTATAAGGCTTATAGAGCTCATAGGGTTTTGGGGTTTACGGGTTTAGGGTTCAGGGTTAAGCTTACTTGCCCAGTATCCTGGGAAACTTCAGCTTAACCTTTGGGACTGTATTGGGATTCTAGCACCCGAAAAAGCTCCAGAGCTACCTACCAGACCACCCTATTACTATAATGTAGGGTCCGTAATAGTTACAAGACGGTTTAGGGATCCATTGTACTACGTACAAGTACAATAATAAGGAACCCCCCAGAGTAGTATTGGTAACTATTTAAGCCCCTATATCATTAAGGAACTCCTTGCGGCTGTTCAAATTGGATCATCGGTTTTGCGGCGCAGGGTTGAGATTACCCGGCCCAAGCCGAAATCACATCCGAAATCGAGGTCCGAAGCCCTAAGCCCTCCTCGAACACGGTTTAGGGTTTAGGCTTTGGGGTGTGTGGGTTCTTCTTCTTTCGTTCTCTCTTATAGTGCTGAAATGTGGCGTGTTACGGGGTTTTGTCGGGCTGCTGTAAAGATCGGTCGTAACATTGGCGTCCCTGGCACTGTCTGTTTAGGGCTGCTTGTATGTGTATGTCTCGATGTATGTACATATATACACAGAGGTATATAACATGCAAACAGACATTCATACACTGCCCTGGTTCGTGAAGCTTCGCAACGGCTGTACTTATAGGGGCCTTCGTAATTAGAATAGGGTTTTGGGGTATAGTATATTGTATTTGAAATAAGGAACCCACCAAAATAGTATAAGTGTTTATTTAGGCCCCTACGTTAGTGTCCGAGGCTGCAACGTGAGAGATGCTGGGGCGGAAATGCCTGACACACTCGGGGACTAGTCCTGAAGTCTTGGGGAGGGGAGCGTTTTTAGGGTGTAGGGCTTATAGGGTTTAGGGTTTAGGGTGTAAGGTTTAGTTGTCGGAGGCGCGACGCGGCGCTTCTTCGGGGACGGGGTCAGCTCGATAAGCTTGGGCCTACCGCTGCTTGCCACCGCCGACCGTTGGTTCTGCACTCGTTCCACGACTGCTGCGCTGTAGAACTTCGCAATGGTCTTGCCGGTGACGTTCTCTTCAAACAATTCCTTCTGGGCGGCTTTGCCCTCTTCGATATGCATACGGAAATCTTGCAAGGCCTTTGCGACGAAGCCCTCCTGCAAACTGGCCGCTAGCGTCAGGCCCCCAGTGAGACCCGATGTAGACGCCGGCGCAGCGCGCGAGCACGTCTGCATGCCGCCCCCATGATTTGTAGAGCGCTGTTCCGAACCTGACCACATTCTTGACAGCCTCTGCGATGGAGTCCAGCTAGCGCTCCACGTCCGGATGGTCCTGCACGCTGCATGACTACGAGACCCTCTTAGTGAAGCACAACTCAGGCGTCCTGGACGTTGAGGATCTTGTTCGCATTTTCGATCTTGTGCTTCGTGCAGAGGTCCGTGTACTCCTGAGGTGGGGCTGAGGAGTCCGGCATCCGCGCCCTCCTGGAGGTTGATCATGCAGAAAACCGACAAGCATGCTGAGCCCGATTGCATGGCGGTTGAACAGTTCGTGCCTGTCGCCGCGGACCGCTTCGGCACCAAACAGCTTGGCATTAAAGGGCTGTTCTGGTTTCAGCAGCCCTGATATGCCTGCGTCACGGGCTCCCTCTTCGTTATAAACGACCGCACCCAAATTCTTTGCAGGTGCACCACCAGGCCCGCCGGGCTGGCAGCTTCCAGGGTGCCTTCTGCCCCCGTGACCAGCCCTGCCCATGAGTGCAAGGTTTTTGGGTCAAACGGACGCGAGTGCCCACGTCGAACGGGAGCTGCGTGGGTGGCCTTACCGGTGGTTGGCTAGACGACGGCGGTCCTGAGCGCTTGCTCGCAGAAAAGTTGGCGCGCGGCCTTCTGGGTTGCAGTGACCACTAGGGCGTGAGGCAGCTGCCGCCATAGCTCCGGAGCACCGGCCGCGTGATTCTGTGGCAACGAGCAAAGGCTCAGGCAGCGTCCTTGCATCGGAAGGAGCCGGTGCCGAGGTCGAACGTCTCTACCTCCGCCCAGTAGATGCTGCGGACGTTCCTTGCTTCGTGGGTCACGGGCGCCAGCTGCATGAAATCCCCCAAGAAAATCCAAAGGGGCACTTTCTCGGCACGAATACAAAGCCGGAAAATGGGATCGCCAACAGCAGCAGAGACCATGCTAGTCTCGTCAATAACCCCGACATCAAATAGTCGAAGGCGTCTTGTGGACTCCAGCTCCCGGACTGGGTATTGGGGATGATCCCGAAGGCTCGATGGATGGTGCTGGCGACGCACCCTTCGGAGGCGCAGGTGGCAGCAAGCTTGCCCGTCGGAGTGGCATACCGGATGCTCTGCCAACAGCTGCATGCATGCGCGCATGCAACAAGTCTTCCCGGCGCCGGGTCCTCCCGGCAGAAACCGAGCCACGACGCGCACATGCAGCTGGTAGCCCACATGCGGCAACTCGCCCTGGTGCACGGCATCCTGAGCCGTTTGACGAAGCTGCATAGCCGCTTCCACCAGCCGCAGAAATGCTGCTTGGCGTCCCGAAAGAGCAGCGTAGTCAAACTGCCGTGCAGGGGCTGCCGAAGGGTTGGGCCGGAACTGGTTCGTTCGCAGGAGGTGGATGTGCTGTAAGTTGGCGCGCAGCTGCGCTAGATTGCTTTCGACGAAATCCACCCGATGCCCCTGGAGTCGAGAGCCTTCCAGGCCCACTTGTTGGAAGGGCTCTGAGTTCAGGACTGAACAATCCGGCTCCTGAGCGCAGTCTTAAGCTCCGAAGTCAGAAGCTTGGCAGGTTGAGGGTTCAGCGTTTACGGTTTAGGGTTTAGGGAAGCTTAGCAACACTCCTGCGAAGCAACAGAAAAAGCATCGACACCCAAATACCTACGAAGGCTGCAGGATGGAAAAAAGCATAGCACAGGGGCCTTAACAATTAGAATAGGCTTTTGGGGGCCCAGACTGCTATGCTTTTCATAAGGAACCCCTAAACCCTAAACAGTAAACCGTAAACCCGAAACCCCTAAACCACTACCCCCAGATAGTATACAAAGGTCCAAAACCAGCCTTCTAACTTCTAAGCCACGTTAATTTAAAACCCAAAAGTTGGAAACTCAATAGCCTCAATCATTGAGAGTCATGTACAGGGAATCCCAGCACTAATTGTCCTTAATCCGGTTTCCAGCTCTTTGGGGTTTACTATGAAGTCCAGGCCTATCCAAACGGTCAAGTGGCACCCTTCAAGACAAGCACCCGAAAATCCGACAACCTCCAAACCGGGCAAGAGTGCCATTCCGTCAAGGGCGATCTCGGGCTATCCTCTGGATGATAGGCGATCGTCCACAAGCCTGAATTTTGTGAGGGCATGCTTCCGATTGTGCCCACAAGCTTGGTATCGCTGTCGCTTGTTTTTGCGTTTCAAAGGTGGGCTAGGAGCGGTAGAATTACAACCTGTTGCTTGGCGTTGAGGAACTACCCATACGCCCCATAGTAGTTCCTTTTGGTGGGCTTATATTTAGGATCCTATCAGGTAATCCCCCAAAAAAAAATACTATGGGGCCTATAGGTAATCACAAAGGACTTCATTGGATTTCAAGCATTTTTGTAAGAAGAGCCGATGCGTCAGCGTTTCTTGGCTTAGTTTCTGTATGAGGCTCGGGACATTTGGGAGCTTCGGGGTCCAAGGATCGATAGGAATCAGGGTCTCAAGAGGGGTTTGGGGTTTAGGGTTTAGAGTTTAGAGTTTAGGGTTTAGGGCTTAGAGTTTAGGGTTTAGGGTTTAGAGTTTAGGGTTTGGGGTTTAGGGTTTAGATGTGCTGGCCCTAGAATACGGGGGCCTGAATAATCCACATTGGGTTTCGTGGCATGTTACAGGGAGGATACTTCAGGCCCCCCAAATATGTGCCTCAAAGAGGATGCTTCTGACTGATGATCCACCCCACTACCATTCCTCCTAAACTTCTATACCCTAAAATCCCCTAAACCCCCCGAGCGCCCTAAGTCCCCTAAATCCTTTAGGGTTTAGTGCTTATAAGGACTAAATACTTTGAACCCAACACCCCCCCAAACAAAAAATGCTTGCCTGCACCAACAGGAAGGACCTTGTTCTTCGTGGCTTCCACAAGGAAAATGCTCTTCATCTTCTCAACCTATCGACGAACAGCTCAATGTTCGGTCCGGGGCTCATTAGGGCTTAGGGTTTAGAGGTCGAGGGCTTTTAAAACAGGACAGGATTACGGAGCATATTATGCTGTTAGATACAACCCCCATAGAAATTGAGTACAAGGCATGCAATGATCACTGACTCAGACCCCTATGTTACTTTCTGCGTAGCTAAAAAACACGATTATCAGCACCTTAAGCGCGACGGTCGCAGATTGGAGCCAAGAGTTATCTTGATTCTAAAACTACTGCACTACCCTAAACCCTGAGATGAACCTTCTAAAACTACTGTACTACCCTAAACCCTAAACCCTAAGATGAACCTTCGAGCCCGCGGAAGTCTGGGCTTCGACTTGGGCTAGCCATCCTGCACCCTCAGATGTTCTCGCTTCCGGAGTTTAGGTTTAAAGGGGTTTAGGGGTTTAGGGGTGGGTTTAGATCGGTATACCCTAATCTCAACATTACATGTCTCAGGGGTTCAAAGCAGGCAACATTCATCAAAACAAGACAGTTCGCCACAACTAGACGTTGACACTGCGCCCTGTACGCTGAAATACCTTGGCAAATCAGAACATCCCGAAACCCTAAACCCAAAAGACTCAAAACCCCAAACCCTAAGCCTGAAACCCTGTCTGACAGCATCCGCCTTATCCGGCATCTCCTTGGCAAGATCGTGGGCCTGGGAGTAGTCCTGCCCAACTGAAGTATGGAACAGCAAGAGGTTTGCGTTTACAGTGCAACTGGGACTGTCTCTTTGCAGGAGTCAAGCCTCAGCCACAAAGTGGCCTACCCTAAACCCTAAACCCTAAACCCTAAACCCTAAACCCTAAACCCTAAACCCCTAAACCCTAAACCCCTAAACCCTAAACTCTAAACCCCTGCAACCGGAACTAGGAGGCAAGAGTGCTTCGGGTTTAAAGTAAAGTTATAATCGTCGTAGTAACAGAAGTCGTCGTCATAGTTGCAGCAGCATCTGCATCCTAGCACCCAAAACCCTAAAGCCTAAACCCTAAACCCTAAACCCTAAACCCCTAAACCCTAAACCCTAAACACTAAACCCTAAAAGGCCCTAACCCCCAAAAGCCGAACCTTTCACCCCAGTACCCGAAAGCGTCAAGGTCTGCGTGCCTTTGTCAGGTCGTAGAGCTCCCAAACGTCGGTGTCTGGGTTCCTTGCTTTCTGAGGGTTTAGGGTTTCGGGTTTAGGGTTTAGGGTTTCGGGTTTCGGGTTTAGGGTTTAGGGTTTAGGGTTTAGGGTTTAGGGTTACGGCTTAGGGTTCAGGGCTGAGGGCTTCAGCACCCTAAACCCTAAACCCTAAACCCCCAAACCCTAAACCCTAAACCATTGCCGTGGCCGTGTGTACGGACCGGATCTTAGAGTTCAAGGCTCGGGCCGAGCATGATCCAACAGAAGCGGCACCGACAGAATCCCATGACCTGTACTTGAATGAAGCAGGTTTTGGGGGCTTAGTTTAGGGTCTAGGGTTTTGTAACTCTAGATAGAAGGATGTTTGACCAAATTGTGGGCTAAATTGCTTGATTGAGGGTTGTTGGGCTCTCATGGCGCCTAAACCCTACCTGTAGCCGAAAGACCTACCTACCTCTTTCACGAACTATATTCATCAGGAAACCCTGCCAAATAAAGAACCCTAGAAAAGTAGGCTTTTTTCGGCTACAGGTTTTCCCCCCAGGTCGCATCAAAGGCTCCACTCCTTCAAGCGTGTGGCGTTCTGGTGCCAAGGGATGCGAGGGCCGAAGACGCTCGCAAACCAACCATCCTCGAGGGCTTCGAGCGTATGAAGCCCTAAACCCTAAACCCTAGACCCTAAACCCTAAACTCAAATCCTAAGCCCTATAAACCCTGAACCCTAAGCCAAGTCTGCGGACTCGGAGAGAGCCTGCGCTCTAAATCCTAACCGGTGCCGGTGAGGGTCCAGAGGCTTAGGTGGTGACGGTTTAGGGTTTAGGGTTTAGGGTTTAGGGTTTAGGGTTTAGGGTTTAGGGTTTAGGGTTTAGGGTTTAGGGTGGGTTTGCCGAGGGCGGCATGCATTCGTCTGCTGGTGGCTGTAGTCGAACTGGCTTGAAGGCATGAGGGATACTGTTGATGATTTGGGACTTTCCGAAAATTAGGGTACCTTATTTTGGGGTCCTTATAATAAGGAACCTATTATTTAGGGTACTATAGTAGGGTCCCCTATTTTGGGAAACCCCCATTTAATTCCTGCATTACCCTAAGGAACCTAAACTATGGGAATTATGGTATACTCCTTACTATGAGTAATGCAGGGTTCATATCATCAACCGTACTACTAATAGGCTTTGCATGGATGGTTCTGCGCAGTGGTGAGGTCGCGACATAGGATGGCCACGTTGCACCTACGCTTCGAACTTGTCAAGGTTGCTAATCATAAGGGTCCAAGTACCCAAACAGCAGAGTTTGAAGTCCCCAAAAGACCTCATATCGGGGCCTTAGACATTAGAATAGGGTTCTGGGGCCCATTATAGAATCCCCAAACTAGTATTGGTAATTATTTAGGCCCTATATTAGAACCTTGCTGTTTTTGGAGCTCGGGCTTGGACCATCCGGGTAACCTACCTGTGGCATGGCGGTGATGCAACAAAATTTTGACTGAAAAACTGCATACCGTTCTGGAGGTGGCGACCAGAGGCCAACGAAAGGTAGCCACTGCAACGACATATAAAATAGGGGCCTGAATGATTAGACTCGGGTTTTGGGGCCCATTATACTATACCTATATAAGGAACCCCCGAAATAGTTTAATGAATTATTTAGGCCCCTTTTTTTATAGGCTAGTCTGCAGTTTAAATGCACGAGCGCTCCTTCGAGGAATAGAAGTCCTCTCATATGAGCGCACTAGATGAAATACCTCTACAACAGTTTAGCACACCCCCACCTACAGGAGCTATGCGGGTCCTTGTAAACACCGCGGCTGCCCATGACCTGCCAACATGTTGCGAAGTTTTCATACTCCTTGTACGAGTTTGTTCTACCACAGTCTTATCCCTGGCGTTGTGAGCTGCTGCCTAATGTCGCCCGTGGTGAGAGTATCGAGAATGCCATGACAGTTCTGCCGCTGGCGCTGCTTCTGCAAATGTTTGACCGAAGGAAATGTTCGTCCTGAGATGCTGAATACACTTTGGAATCTTAGTCTCCATTGCTAGCGTAGCTCAGGCATGAAATTGCCACTGAATGCTCTTGCTAGTCTTGGTGATGATGATGCTGCTATCAGAACATGGGTAGCTCTCTCAATTGGGTTCCCTTAGGGGTCCTTTTTATAAGGTTGCCGTTTTGGGAACCCGAAAAGGGACCCTAATTTAGAAAACTACCCACATGGTGACGGTCCTGGAGTTGCTATCTCGAGCGGTTCCGCACAAGCCCCTACACCCCTAAACCCTAAGGGTTTAGGGTTTAGGGTTTTGGGTTAAACCCCTAAGCCCTAAATCCCTAAACCCTAAACCCTAAAACCTGAACCCAACTAAAACCCACGTGTCTGTCCGGGCCTCGAAGTATTGGGTGTCCTTCCGTCCCACTGCGGAGGCGTTGTTCCTGGGCAGCGAACCCAAGACTTTCCAAGTACCCAACAACATCCTGGGAGGTTTCTATAGGTTTTTTTTAACTTCTATAGGGTTTAGGGTTTAGGGTGTAGGGGTTTAGGGTTTAGAGTTTGGGGTTTAGAGTTTAGGGTTGAGGGGTCTAGGGTTTAAGGTTAGGGTTTAGGAGTTTAGGGCGCTTACCTTAAAGGGTTCTTTGAGGCATCAAAAAGGATTTGGGGGGCCGGAGGAGTGGCAAGAGCAGGAGAAGGTGGAGAAGGAGCAGCAAAAAGAGTAGTAGTGGAAGTAATCGTAGTATAGTAGTAGTAGTAGTA